AGGAGCCCCTAATTCTGTGTCTGAACTAACTACCATTACTTATGCCAGAGCTCTATCTGCAGCACAGCAAAAGCTGTGAGAACTGAACCATGAATGGCTAACAGACACATGAAAAGTTCAATGTCATTAATCGTGAACAACAACAAAGCCAAACCCACTGCCATCAAGCTGATTCTGACTCATAGCAAGCCTAATCACAAGTAGGTATTACCTCACAACCACTAGAATGAGAAAACAAACAAATCTCTTAATAATCCCATGGGCTGGTGAGAATATATAGCAAGCAGAATTCAAGAACATTGCTAGTTGTAATGCAAAAGTGGTATAGCCGCTTTGGAAACTAGTTTACTAGTTTCTTTAAACATCTACCTACCATATGACCCAGCATTCCCCACACCCAGGAAACTATCCGAAAGCAAGTACAACTTTTAGTAACACGAATGCCTTTCAAGTAGTGAATGGATAAACAAAGATCCATAAAACACACTACAAGTCAGCAATAAAAATGAGCTACTGACACAGATGACTATATGAACAAAAAATGTATTATCCTCAGTGAAAGATGAGGTTGTCTACTGCTGTAGAGTTTAGCAGCCTGAGCTAGAACTGACCCTATGCAGTTGCATGTTGCTTTGAAGTGAAAGAAGTCAGACCTGGAGGAGTACACCCGGAGGATTCTACTTATATGACCTTCTGGGAAAAGGGAAAGCAGCATGGATGGAGAAAAGACCCGCGATAAACAGCTGCTACTGCTACTGTGGGGGGCGGGGTTGACTACAGAGGGTGTATGCGAAGATCAGGGGGCCTTCTGGGTCTGGAGGTGGCTCAGTGCTGGGGGAGTGTTACAGGACACCACCGAGTTGATTCCCACTCAGAGCGACCCCATGGGACACAGTAGCTCGGCTGCATATTTATTTTGACTATAATCTTCACGGAAGCAGATCATCAGGTGATTCTCCTGTGGACCACGGACGGAGTTCCAACCACAAACAGGCTAACAGTTAAAAGCTTAACCATCTGCACCACCAGGGGCCATTCACTCCACACGGCTGTCAAAATGCATAGAGCTGTCCATCCAGGAATGAATGTACTGTATGCAAATCAATAAAGAATCAAAAGAAAGGTCACAAGGACAGCTGCTTACCTGACCCTAAACCAAACTCACGCCATCGAGCCACGCCGATTCATAGCAACCTTACAGGACGGAGTAGAACTGCCCCTGTGGGTTTCTGAGACTGTGACTCCTTACAGGACATAAAGCCTCACCTTTCTCCTCACGGTTTAGAACCACTGACTTTGTGGTAGCAGCCCAATGAGTAACCACTACACCACCAGGGTTCCTTTGGCTTAGCTGACAAGATCCAGCAAGTCCACACCAAGGGGGACTTGAAAGCAGACACACAGACCCTTGGACACCAATACTCAGTCATTACTAGTCACAATAACCAAGTGGTGGGAACAAACTGTCCATCAACAGATAAACAGATAACTAAGCGCAGTGTATCCATGCAACGTAGTACTACTTAGCCAGTGAGGGAAATTAAGTATCGATACATGCTATAATATGGAGCTTGAAGATATTATGTGAGTGAAATAAGTCAATCACAAAAGGACAGATATTTCATGCCCTCACTTACATGTAAAGACAAGAACAAGTGAATATGGAAAGACCAAAATTTATTAGTGGTTACCAGGAAACAACCCAGTTAATATTATGCTTAGTGAGTGTGTTCTCCCTCCTGGATCACAGTACAGTACGTAGGGCCTTAAAACCTCGCGAGCGGGCATCCGAGGCACAACGATCGGTCCCCATTCAAGGTAAGATGGAATGTGTGGTCCACTGCCCTCATGAACAACCTGCCTCCTTTACGGTAAGCCCAGACAATGTGGATGGTGCTTGGCTACGGTTACTGAAACTTGGGATCAGGATTCCATGAAAACTCCTGATCAGCAACTTGGAGGGGGGGGGGGGTGGCGGGGAGCGGGAGGCAGATCAGAATTTCAAAGTCTCATATCATCCAGATTTTCTGGCACCACAGAGGCTGAATGAACCCATGAAACTATTATCTTGAGAAGTTTTCTTAGAACCAAACCATAACTTCACTTAAATACTAGAGAAGGTCTGCCCTGAGCATTGTACCCATCTAAGATCTAGCTATATGGGATCAAAGCGACAACTGGAATTCCAAAGGTTAGATGAGAAACTTTGGGGGCAGAGAATTTATGCTAACGGGGAAGGAACAATTTGGAAAAGAGAAGTGAGAACGGTTGTACAAAGATCAAAATAAATGTAACTATATTTACAGACATTACTGAATTAGTGTATGTTCTGGAGTATTTAGTCTCAACAACAACAACAAAACTATATATATATCCACATACACACATGTATATTATATGACTGTATCTCTAGTTTATCTGGGGTAACTGCCCAGGAGTGTACAGTGGCTCAGTTACATGAAAGTTCCACGTGCAGCTACTTTTTTTTTTAACATGTGCAATTCTTTTATGTATTTTTATTTAAAATCATTTTATTGGGTCTCATACAACTTTTTTCACAATCCATACATACATCCATTGTGTCAAGCAACACACATGCAGTTCTTAAGAAATAGCCAAACTATTTTCTAGAATGCCAATACTAAAAGTTATATTCCCTGCGCCAATATGAGTAATCCAATTATCTGTATAAACTTGCCAGCACTTGATGCTGTCACTTTTTTATTTTAGTCTTTCATCTAGTTGTGTAGTGATAGCTCACTGTGGTTTTAATTGTGCACTTATCTAATGTCTTGCCTACAGCACATGAAGAGGCTGTCAACGCGCACACACACACGACTCAATAGAAAAATAAATCTTATTCAAAAATGGGCAAAAGATATGAAGAGGATGTATAAGTGATAAAAGGATGTTGAACATAACTAGCCAAGTGTTTATAGCCGCTTTCTTCAGAGTAACAATAAATAAACAAGAGGAAAGCATCCAGATGTCCTCCATGAGTAAATGGTTAAGTTGTCATGCGTCCACATCACAGAGTACTTCTCAGAAATAAAACAGAACAAATTATTTGTACACACTGTGCTCTGCTCAATCTCCAGAGAATGAGTAAGAAAAAAGTAAATATAAATGGATACATCTAATATGACTTGATTTGCATAATATTTTTGAAATGACATAATTATAGAAATGAGTACTCCTCAGGGCCAATAATGAGAGTAGCCGTATCAGGAGGGTCAGGAACTAAGGGGGAACTGATCACAATGATCGACATATAAATCCCTCCCCAAGGGGACAGGCATCAGAAAAGTGGGTGAAGGGAGACAGCAGTCGGTGCAAAACATGAAAAAAAAAATTATAAATTATCAAGGTTCATGATGGAGGGAGGGTGGAGAAGGGAGGGAAAAAAATGATACCAAGGACTCAAGTAGAAAGAAAATGTTTTGAAAATGATGATGGCAACATATGTACAGATCTGCCTGACACAATGGATATATGTATGGAATGTGATAAGAGCTGTAAGAGCCCCCAATAAAATAATTTTAAAAAATTATAGAAATGGTGAGTTTGCTAGTGATTACTTTCAAGGATTAAAGAAAGAGTGGGGGCAGAAGAGAAATATGTGCAACATGCGAGATCCTTGTGGTGATGGAAATGTTTGAATCTTTACTGGAATCAACTTAAATGTTCTCATTTGATTCTATCTCAAAGTTTGTAAGATATTCTCATTGGGTAATTGGGCAAAAGGCACAAGAGTCTGCTTTGTATTATTTCTTATAATTACAAGTGAATCTATAATGATTTCCAATTAATGTTTAATTAAAACATGTAAATAACCTATATTAATATCAGGACAGGAGTACACAAAAGGCAGATCAATGGAACAAAGAGCATTCTAGCGTACATAAGAACTGAATACATGATAAAGAAATTGCTTCTTCCTTTAGCCCTCTGGCTCTGCTCTCCACCCTATTGTACACAAAGGCTCCAGGAGGCTGACCTCTATGGGCTGCAGCAACCAAAATCCTTGTCCTTTTTAGTTTAATTTACCCAATGGAAGGTACGGAGGAGCGGCAGAATGTAAAAAGGATGAAAAGTCAGACTACTTACTTACCTTCTCCCCTTCCTTGCGGGTCATAGCTTAGAATTAACTGCCTGTCTAACTAAAGGCTATGCTCTGACCAAGCAGTCCTGTCTTTAGAAACTGATCTTGCTGGATTCCGCTTCCTCTCCTTACTCCTTCAGGGTTAGGCGTGGTAACAAAACTGACGCTTAAGTACAGACACCTTTATTTCTAATTTTCCATTTTATTCAACTTAATAATTTCTTCAGTAGGTTTTTATTAAGCACCTACTATGTGCCTGGCACGATGCTGAGTTCTAAACATAGAACAGTGAATACGCCCTGATGCTCTGTGATGTTCCACCATCACTTTGTCTTCCCTTTAACTTTGCCCACACCTTTGGAAATTGTCTCTTCCTGGAAGTTTCTTCACTTATTCTTAGATGCATTATTATCTACTTCTTGCCAGGACACTGATGCACTTGACAAGAGGCAAAATCTAGAATGCTAGATTAGTAAATACCAAGGGTCTTGGTATTGTCACTTAGTTATTGTAGATATGAAAATGTACATTTCAGGGGGAAAAATGAGGAGCTGATACCAAGGGCTCAAGTAGAAGGCAAATGTTTTGAGAATGATGATGACAACAAATGTACAAATGTGCTTGACACAATGGATGGATATATGAATTGTGATAAGAGTTGTACGAAAAAAAAAAAAGAGTTGTACAAGTCCCCAATAAAATGATTTAAAAAAAAAAAGAAAATGTACATTTCATGTAATGGGAATCTGGGGTGGATGTTTTTCTAACTACTGGAGTGACATAAAATCTCTTTTCAAGAGTTAAAAATATATACTAGGAAATATAAATCTAGATAATTTGTCAAATTAATAAATCATACCCGCACTTATATTTATGTAATTAAATTTGTTCTACTTACCTGTGGGTCCACTAACCACCCATGGTATAAAGGAATATCAAGAAGATCAAATACTATGCATTCCGGTGTATATTCAAATACACGAACCCCAGTGAATTTCACATTGACATCCAGACCCGTCTGCAGTTTATGCAGAATCGCCATCGCGTCACTCATGTTCTGAAAACAGACAAGGAAGGGCATGTCAGAGGAATCAAAGCACCAACAGGGACATACTGAAGTGCAAGCAGGTTTACCTCTAATGGCTCATTTCATCCAACGAACTAAATTCTTCAGAAAAAAATGTTTAAGTGACTATCACATGCTTGCCATTAACCCAAGCTGTAACGATCTAACAGTGAACAGAATAAAGGCACTGCTCTAACAGGACTTACATTCTACTGAGGGAGGAAAGCATAATGTGTAATGTCAAGTACTGGTAAGAAAACCTGAACAGAAAAAATTATGACAGAAAAAGAAAAACTGAACAGGAACCTCTAGCATATACCAAGTGCTAGAAATGAAAGACCAGGAAGTCTAAGGTCAAATGTCTAACGGCAAAGATGAAACCTCTTTGAAAAGGATACTTAAAAGGAGCCAAAACCAAATCTTGAGCCTTGGGAAACTCCACAGGATCACGTATTCCAGACAAAGCAGAAATCAAAATAGTTTCATAGATTTCAATAAGAAATTACATAAATTTTATAAATGATATAAATTGAGTATTGTCACTTCATACTGATAACATATCAGTTATGGGTTTTAAATATTAGAGGTTCATAGAAGATTTCATTTCAAAAGAGTTTCTATTGCTAAAAACATTTTAAAATCATGTTCTAAGCTGCAAAATCACCCAAAAAGGTTTAAATAATTCAGTCTTCTAACTTGGCTTTAGCTATATATTTCCTACCTTATACAAATGAAGTAATACAATATTCTGGCTTTTCAGTTCTATTACTACTGAATTATTTGAACACTCAAATTTGAGAAATCTTTATAATACTGATATGAACTTTGCTTCCCTATTGCCCATTTAATATTGTTGGAAGTGTGTATCACAATTTGTTTTGAAAGTAGATACGAAGGGTCCAAGGATGCCTATTTAGTTCCTAGATGTTACTTCTTTCCACAGAAAGATGCTGACTATTTCTTGCCTTTTATTGCCAAGACAAGAAAATTAAGTTGTGTTCTTCCTTCCATTACCAGTGGTTGTGAGCCTAGTGACCTATCGTATATTAAAGAACAGGTTCTCTCAAACACATGTCAAAACACAAGGACATATGGAAACTCAGAAACAACTGAACTTGTCCTAAAAACATCATTTGACATCATTCGATCAACTTTCTCCTATTCATAGTTCAGCTATAAAGTATAAATAAGAGGAGAGAAGGGTTAAGGACAACTTCACATGAAAACAATATTTTTAAGAAAAATACCAGATATCAATCTATAGAGATCTGTGGAAGGATACCTATATGTCATTCTATATAAAACAAACGTAAGTGTTTGTATAAAACAGGGATCAGGAAAGGATGGGTTGGTGGCCAAACCAAGCCTGTGGGCAAACAATGGTGATCTCATGTTTCAAGGGCTATAAAAGATAATACAGCAAGGAATAGATGTTAGAAACCATTGTATTACCGACAAATCCTGAAATACCGACTATTTTATCTTTTATGAAAGCATCTGCCAACAATGATAGAGATCAACTGATATATCCATAAAGTAATATAAAAGAAATTGTGCTTATTACCTGCTCATAGTTTAAACGTTGAATTTCTGAAATTTCTTTAGGCTTTGCATCGAGCATATAATCTCCTGAAAAGAGAAATTATGAAATTTCTTTTTTTAATTATAAAACTTTAAATATTCAGCAGACAACATATAAAATTGACTGCCTAAACAAATGTACAAATGTGCTTTACACAACTGATGTATGGATTGTGATAAGAGTTGTATGAGCCCTAATAAAATGATTAAAAAATTAAATTTAAAAATAATAATTTATAAATTATCAAGGGTTCATGAGGGAGGGGGAAGCGGGGAGGGAGCAGGAAAAGTGAGGAGCTGATGCTTAAGGGGAGAGCAAATGTTTTAAGAATGATTAGGGTAATGAATGTACAAATGTGCTTTACACAATTAATGTATGTATGGATTGTGATAAGAGTTGTATGAGCCCCTAATAAAATGATTAAGGAAAATGGAAAAAAATTAAATTAAAATAATAATAATAATAATTTATAAATTATCAAGGGTTCATGAGGGAGAGGGGAGCAGGGAGTGGGGAGCGGGGAGGGAGGAGGGAAAATGAGGAGCTGATGCCAGGGCTTCAAGTGGAGAACAAATGTATTGAGAATGATGAAGGTAACAAATGTACAAATGTGCTTTACACATTGATGTATGTATGGATTGTGATAAGAGTTGTATGAGCCCCCAATAAAATGATTTTTTAAAAATTGGCTGCCTAATTCTACCCAGACAAAACTGATATTAACTGTTTGCTTCAGTTTCATGTATCTTCTTGGTATTACAATTATTTTGCAACTTTTTCTTTCACTTTAAGGTGCATTTGAACATCTTTCCATTCCATGTTACCACTTGTATAGCTCTCTCATTCTTTTCATGCCTCTATCATATTTGGTAGGCGCCCTAGAGGTGTCGTGGTATATGTGTTGGGCTGCTAACCCCAAGGTCAGTAATCCATAGAAGAAAGATGAGGCTTTCTACTTCTGGAAAGGTGTACAGCCTTGGAAAACACAGGGGCAGAGTTAAAATCCGTTCACTGACAGTGAGTTTATAGTTGTTGATACATTGTATACACGTTTTAAGTTATTTAGTCAGGATCCCACTAATTTTTTACTTAAATGACATTGTAAGTAATGTCTTCACACTCAGAGCTTTGCAGATTTGTGAAGTGTTTTTATAGGCTAGGTTCCTAAAACTTCTAGCTGGAGAAAAGAATATTTTACATTTCGGTACATTTTGTTTAACTG